AAACAGGGGGCCAGTTCACTGTCCCTCAGATCGTTGGAGGGCTGGACTATAGTTTAAAAAAAAACTTGAACAAATTCCTATACACACTGCACATATCTTATTTTGAAATAAAAAACAAATGGGGCAAAAGCACCTGGCATGCTGGATAAATGTCCTCGGTGGGCCACATGTGGCCCGTGGGCCATAGTTTGAGCACCTCTGGGTGGGATAAACAACCTGGAGGGGTAAACAACAGGTTGGACAGTTCTGGGGAGACAGGGGGGAGGGGGAGGTGGGGGAAAGGAAGTGGGTTAACAGACCCAGGGACAAGGGAACAACAAGTGATCCAGAATCAGTGGTGAGGAGAGTGTAGGAGGTCTGGTGGGGCTTAATCAAGGGCAATGTGACTGAGAGCAATTGGTAAAACCCAAGTGGGAGCTGAGCATGGTGGTGGGGCAAGAGGAAAGTGAGGTGGGGGGGGGGGATGGAGCAAGGAACTAGGAGGCAGGGGTTATTTATAGAGGTCTGGGTGCAAGCATGCACACATGTGAATATATTTATATAAGGTGACGGGGAAATAGATCTATGTGCATATATTTATAGGTTTAGTATTAAGGTAGCTGCTGGATGTTGGACCCTACTCAAGTGCTCCCTCAATGTCGGAACACTTTGTTCTATTAAACTTGCATTCCATGATGCTCACCTTCCCGACATGATTGCTGAAGACAAAGCAGGTACATGGGCAAGTGTGGTGGAGAAAGTTGATGGTGCCCAACTATCAAAAGATGTGGTGTCTGGGGTCTTATGGGCTTGGGGATGGATAGGAAGTCATCTCGCTGAGAGGCGGCAATTGCGGCTCACATGGAAGGAGCATACCAGCCTGTGTGATCACGAGGTGTCAAAGGGATCAGGTATAAGGCATCAAAGAACAAAAAGTCAGATCATTGTGAAGAGGTGGAGTGTTGAGTGGAGACCCAAAGCCCATCTGTAGGCAACTGGACATCCCCTTACAGAGGGGTCACGGAGAGGAGACGAGCCAGTCAGGGTACAGTGTAGCAACAATGAAACATACAACTTTCCTCTAGTTCTTAAATGCTTCCTCCCAGCTACTATCATGACCCAAATTCTACCTTGCAAATCTGCCTTGGCCAGAGGATGTACACTTGTACAGATAGGAATTGGAAACACAGGGAATCCAGGAAAGATGAACTCCTCAGGACCAGTGGTGAGAGTGGTGATACTGGGAGGGTAGAAGGAGGGTGGGTTAGAAAGGGGGAATCGATTACAGGGATCTATATATGGTCCCCTCCCTGGGGGACGGACAACAGAAAATTCGGTGAACGGAGACATCGGACAGTATAAGACATGACAAAATAAAAATTTATAAATTGAGTGTTTGTGAGGGAGAGGGTGCAGAGAGGGAGGAGAAAAAATGAGGAGTTGATACCAGGGGCTGAAGTGGAAAGCAAATTTTTGAGAATGATGAGGGTAACGAATGTACAAATGTGCTTTATTCAATTGATAAATGTATGGATTATGAGTTATATGAGCCCCCAATAAAATGATTTAAACATATATATATTATCATATCTGCATGAAATAAATCAGACTCAAAAGGATAATATAATCCTACTTACATTAAATATGTAGGATAGGCAAATGCATAGACCAAATTTATTGATGATTATCACAGGTAAGCAACATTATTTTTTTTATTTAAAATAGTTTTTAACACTATAAGCAAAGCTCTAAAAGAAATTAAATACTGAATTATATTTTTTGTAATTATATACTTTGTAACTTATTTTGCAATCTTTCTCCAAACTTGGTAATAGAATTTATATAGATTAGTGGAATCAGATAAATTATATGGATTATCAACTTAAAAATTTTAAAATCTTTCCATGAATTATTCTTAGTAGGAGATGGGAAATTTCACTTAAAAACTGCATTACTTTAAGAACACTTATATGAAAAATATTAATTTATGAAAAGGAATGTTTAGAAATCCTTCACTTCATATGAGGATTCACCATAGTGTTTGGTATTTCATTAACATTCACTTATATGTCTTTTGCACTAAAGAAGAAATGAAGGGGTTGCAACAAAATGTTAGAAGGCAATGAATCAGAAATGAAGATAAGACAATTCTGAAGTCACAATATAACACAGAAATAAGATTTAATTTAGAAAGAGTAAACCTTTCAACAACTTTTCAGAAAACCACCACAAAGTTCCTTAATGAAAATTTTCACTTGTGGAGTTACATGATCATCCATCCAATGACAACAAAGTAACTGAAAACAAACAATAATACCACAGAGATACTGATTCTATTTCAACTCAACCTGGCCCTATGTGGGGTTTCTGAGATTGCAAATCTTTACTGGAGCAAACAACCTCATCTTCCTGCCACAGAGCGGCAGAAGGGCTCAACCCGCTGACCTTTAGGTTATCAGTCCAACACCTAACCCACGCTATCAGGGTTCCGTAACAAATAATCTGAGGTCCCCACATGCATTTTGACATGGCTCTCGCAGTCACTGGACCACTGAGAACACTTCCCTGCCCTGAGTTCCATTCCTTTGCTTTTCCATTCCTAGACCTTTTCTACTCCTCCTACCCCATTGGACAATTCATCTGTCCCCTTCAGATTCCTGCTAATTCCATCTTCCCTCTGCAGGTACACAGGATAAATCTTTAATAAACAAGTACATAACGTATAAGTAGTTCTGTTGGTTAAAGCACTTGGCTGGTACCCAAAAGGCTGGGTAACAGCCTGCTCCTAGGGAGAAAGATATGGTAGTTGGCACTAGAAAGATGTATAGCCTTGGGAGTCCTATAAGGCACTTTTACTCTGTCCTTTAGGGTTGACGTAAGTCGGAATTGATTTGAGATGGCAGTTATACAGTGCAGTGGTACACAAAGTCCAATGCTAACCTAAAGATCAGGAAACCCGCTGCCCTGGGCTGGATCAGAAGGTACCTCAAACGTGTGCTATGGGTAACTGGAAAATGAAAGTGGAATAGGATGAGAAAAACAGCATCTTGCAAAGACAACTTTATATTTTAAGGAGTATTTCATCATTAGAAGCTCGACATCATCAGGGTTTTATTGAACACGGCCAGAGAAGAGCCTTAGTTTTAAAATAAGGGTTCACATTTATCAGTACTGCAGCACTTTTTCTATCTCCAGTGCCCTCAGCAGCATACTGGGTTAAGTGTTGGGTTAAGGTTAGTGGTTCAAACTCATCAGCCATTCCGGTGTGAAAAAGAGAGAGAGAGAGAGACTAGCAGCTAGAGAGAGAGAGAGAGAGAGAGACTAGCAGCTCCAGCAAAGCCTTCTAGTCCCAGAAACCCTATGGTGCAGTTCTACTATGCCTGAAAAGGTTGACTTGATGGCAATGGCTTTGTCATCAACGCCTAGCACTATGACCAGTATGTAACAGTATAGAAGAAGTCACTGATGTTTACTGGATAAATGTGTTGTCTACCTCAGCCAAGGAGTCCTGATAGCACTGATGCTAACCAGTGAAAGTGATTAAATTTGTTCACTCATTAGCAGCTATGCTTATTTTTCCCCACAGTCTAAAAAAATCCTAAGACCAGGCCTTCCATTATCTTATGCATATTTTTAAAAACATCTTTTTCTACACTAATATTTAATTCATTAGTACCATTTTCTGTGAAAGATTCAAAATACAATCTGTAAAATATACTTATTTTAATAGTCACATTTTCTATCTAGCTTATTCTTTTCCTTTGAAAACAAGCTAGTCACAAAACTCATGATTACTATATGTTCTATGATCTCTCATGGCCATCCAGTTGATTCCAACTCATATGGACCCTGCAGGGCAGGGTAGAACTGTCCCTGTGGATTTTCAAGGTTGTAACTTTTTACCGCAGTAAAAGCCTCGTCACAGAAGAGCTGGTAGTTTCGAATGGCGAACCTGGCAGTTGGCAGCGCAACGCATAACCCACTAAGTCATCAGGGTCATATGTGAATTTGAAAAACTGTAGTATCAAGAGTCTTGAAAACATATGGCTTACAAGATGTTAACAAGGCAGTCTGAAAATAAAGTTTGATCTATTTTAAAATGACACTTCCTAAATGTCTTTTTAAATCGACTCAAAAACAGCTTTGGAAATTACTGGTAAACACAATACATGCATTGTTTTTTCCCCTCCAGATACGCTAACATTTGGAAAACGTTGCCCTCTGATAGGCAAAGACTTGTAGTACATTTCCCAAGCAGGCAACAGACTTTGCATTGATAAAGAAAACGCTGTAGCAGCGAGATAAGCAAACCTCAGCACCCGCTCAGATTGCAGGCTTTAGAAGCCCTCCCAGTTACACACCTGTGCAAGCACTTCCTGCTTCCAAAGATGTTGAGTTTGGTAAAGGTCCCTACGCCGCCTTTCAAGGTAAACATTCACTTTATACATCATAAATACCACCCATGAACCACCAGCCCAAAGATTCTTTACCAAAGAATAATAAACAAATCAAACCATCTCTCTTCTTTACGGGGGGGCAACAGAACCATCCCCGACCCCTTTAAAAAGCTGCGTCCCCGGAAAGGCAGTGTCTTGGAAAATCAGGCGCTGGCGCCAAGGAAGCGTAATTTTCCTATCCCCAACGCAAGCGTAATGTACTCATAGCCCCAACGCACTCAGGGACCGAGCAGGGCTCGGCATTCTGCCCAGCACCGCGGCAATGACCACCGCGACCCGGGACGCGCAGCACCGCCTCGCGCCGCGCGCGCGGCCAGCCCAGCCGGGGGCACCTCGACCGGGGCCGGACGCCGGAGCTTGGAGCCCGCCGGCGAGGAGGAGAGAGCGCGGGGCAGTGAAGAGAGCCGACATCTGGGGCACGGAACGAGGATCTCGGAGGCAGCCCCTGGGGGTCCCAGGTTGAAGAGACTTACCTGGAGCTCTGCCGTCCTCACGTGAGGCGTGTGCAATCCAGGTAAGAAAAACGGGCCTCCCACCCTCACAGGGCACCGGCCCAGCTCCGCCTCACGCCGGCAGCCCCGAGACTACCCGCAGCTGACACCCTAAGCGAGGCTCCCGGGGAACTGAAGCCGAAGCGGCTGGTCTCCGCCGCCCAGAGCACGACCCTGCGCACGGAGCATGCGCACAAGGCCCAATCCCCTAGGGCCAGTCAGGGCGGTGACACCTGCGATCAACAGGTCCCTGGAGCCCCGCCCCTCTCCTTCGAGCTGGCCCCGCCTCCTCGCGCCCGGAGCTCCCCGCGCCCCGCCCCCTGGGGGCGGGGAGATTTCCCGCGTGCGGGACCTGGCGAACTCTGCTCCTCGGGGGAGGGGTTCCCGAGGGAGCTTGCTTCAGTCGGCTTTCTCCGAGGCGCGAGATCCCGCGAGAGCAGGAGCCCGACCCTTTCCCTTCACGCGGTAGCGAGCGCAGCGCTGCTGCTTAGCGGGTGGGGAGGAAAGGTGACCAGAGAGCGGACATTTGGGTTATGGAAAGGAAGGGTTGGTTCCCGAAGACGTGATGATTCCGGCCTTCTTGGTCTCATGGTCTGTGTTTTTTTGAGCTCGGAAGCCCGGATCTACAGTCCGAACTGTGTTTAGGTGAGGTGGTGTTACCTGAAGCGTCTGCTGCCCGGCGTCCAAACCTCAGGCGGATATGCAGTTTCCTTTAGCTTCCGTGAGCAGTTATTAAATAGCTTCCTCTGGCACGCACTGGGTCATGATCATAAATAAAATGAAAGCCTTATACCTGTTGACCCAGTTACTTGTGGTCAGGAAAATGTGGCCGCCTCCTTACCTTTCGGAAACCATTGAAGTTCCAGACTACTTCTGGGATTCGGGCCAAACTTTGATGTGTTTGTATTTTCTTCGTCTCTTAGAAAAGTTGTCAAAAATCCATCGCCGTTATTAAGATTGCTCCCAGAAGGTAGGTAAATTTTTGGAACTCTCTCCAGAACTGGCACAGGTAGGCCGTGCAAATCATGAACGTGAAGGAGACTCATAGACAATATCCCTAAAAACTTATTTGAAGAAGTACGATGAAACGGACAAACCACTAACGCTTGAGGTTGATATGGGTACTAGTTGAATGATAGCTTATTGAGCATGTTCCAGTTATCCTTTACTAAATTAAGGACCCCTGCTGGCTCAAGGGCAGCCGTTTAGAGCTACCAGCCAACCGCTCAGAGGCAGACCTATGGGCCTACTCCATCCTATCGGGCCGTTATGAGTCAGAATTGACTCCGTGTGGGTTTGGGTGGCATCGTGGTTAACACAATTGACCACCAACCCTGAGGTTGATATTTGGGAGACATCAGCTACTTCAGGGGAGGAACGCAGATGGCATACTGGTTACATGTTGGCCTGCTAAAGTTTGAACCACCAGCCACTCTCCGGGAGGGAGAGCAGGGCTTTCTACACCCCTAGAGAGTTAGTCTCAGAAACTCACAGAGACAGGTCTACTACACCCCTAACGAGTTAGTCGAGAAACACAGGGGCAGGTCTACTTTATAGGGTCTCTATGAGTTAGCATCAACTTGATGGCAGTGCGGTTTTGAGGGAGCTGTCCCCGGGAAGAAAGATGTGGGAGATTTAATTTAGATTCACGGCGTTAGAAACCCTATCAGGAACAGAGTGGCCAAGAGCGTGAATGCATTTCGGGGGCTCTCGTCCCTTTCAGCCAGCCCATCACTCCTTTTTGCTTTGCTGTTGAAGGTTGTTATTCCTCATGTGCCCTGAGCATCTGCTTTCCCATCATGAACTTGCCTTCCAGGTGTCCTTAGCACCCAGAGCTCCCAGATGGATCCTTCAAGTTAGGCCTTTTTAAATAACAGTATTTTCATTTGGATTGCCCATGGACACTAAATATCTGTCCCATGGTGACATTTAAGACATATGTCTCATTTGCCCCTCTGCCAATCTTTATTCGTGATACTATGTTTCTCCACCCCTTGAATCTAGCCCGTTTCTGTTTTCTGTTTCAAATTATGACACCCAGTTGAATCTCCCTGTATTACTTTTCCAAGCATTGGACTGCTAATCCCAAGATCAGCTGCTCCACGGGAGCAGGAAGGAGCTGTCTACTCCATAAAGATGTACAGCCTCAGAAAACCTATACGGAGTTGTTAGCATTTGGAATTGACTGAGTGGTGGTGGGTGTGGTGTGGCTTCTGTTCTTGTAAAGATTTACAGTCTCAGAAACCCTGCACAGAAGTTCTGTTCTGCCCTTTAAGGATACTCTGAGTCCCAATCAACTTTGTGACAGTGGTTTTTATTTTTTCTTACTGTCTTAGTCCTGTAAGTAATCTTCTCACTTAGATTACTATAATAACCTCCTAATAGTCTCTAGCCACTTCAATCCAACCTCCTTGCTATTAAAAATACCTTGTTAAAAATTATTAATTAGGTGAACGGTAGTTTTGTTTTTTCTTTCTAACACAAAAATGTGCTCCTGCTGCTCCTTTGCAATGAATTTGCCAGGGCTCCTCATCACTAGTAGATCCCCCATAATCAGACCCCAGACTGGTAATTTCATCTGCCATTCTTCTTCATTTAAAGTAACATTTGTACAATGAGTAAGGCAAACCAGAGAAGAATTGAAGCATTTGCATTATGATGTTGAAGAAGAAGAAAAGTACCACGAATTTCCACAGGGAAAAACAAACCTGTGTTGGAAGAAGTAGTTAAGACGCATATATTC